CAAAACATCAGTTCCAAGGAACGATCCTTTACGATCAAAATAGAAACAGAATCAAGTTCGTATCTTTAACATCTACAGACATAAAAGTTCTGTTGTGATGGTAGTTTTCGTCAAATACGTAATTACTGTATTTTGCAAACAATCTCGAAACCAGCAAAATGATGACTTAACCCCGCGCTATTTTCAGATCAAGCCTAACACATTTCGATTTCAGCAAGAACCCAGACATCCTGTACAAAAGTGATCTGCTCGGCGTGGAATGACCCGGATATGTTCACTGAGTCTGGACCCCCAGGCAGCCCTTGAAACTCTGTTCAACGCGATCTTTGGGGCGTCGATGGGGCCGCTCGTCATCAATTAACATTACCAGAAAGATTATTCTGTCGACGAGGATGTAATGGGCGGCGGCAAGAGATTTATGCCCGCGCGCACCGACCGGCATAATTGACCGCTTAAGGGTTGTTGCGCGCCTCGGTGTACGTCACCGGCGAACACGACGACGATCTGCAATTTTTCTAAGGACGTTCCCCGTCCAGCCCTCCCTTTCGACTTGTGTAATTAAATCCTCAAGGTGTATCGATCGCCTCGGCTTGACACGGAATCGGAACAGAGACCGTGGAGGCGAACGAACAAGTCGTGTGCACCATCTCGCGAAGTTATACGCAAGACGGTCTGGGTCCCCAGTCGCTCTTGGCGATTGTTACACTGCGGGCTGATCTTTGTGGCCAGATTGGAGACAGTCGGGACTTCGTTAGCGACCCATTGTGAACAGATGTGATCATTATGCGTCCACTTTGCATAAGTTCTAGGTGGGAGTATGGGGGTCGGGGATGAAGAAGTGGATAAAGAAAGCGGTAGACAGCCAGGTAGAAGCGGACCAGGGCAGATAGAAGCAGATTAAAAGGAGGACAGAATTGACGGCCAGATAGAAGGAAATGAAGAGACTATGGGTTGCGAGAATGTTCGATACTGTCAACCGGTTCCGATTATTCACGTGCCAAGGGCCAGTGTGTGACAAACTACCTGACGAATGTTTATTCGACGGAATTAACCCGTTAACCCTTTCGTTCCTACTGTCGCCATACAGCTGGATATTTAAAATTACGAAATAAAATGGTAATATCTCATGTGTTTGTTCATATCTGTGAGTACATAATAGTTTCTTAAGAAGGAAGTCGGGACGGAAGAGAGATAGATCGAGGAAGACTGGTCGTCGTCTCCCCCCCCCCTTCGGGTTCTCTGGCAAAAATGTTGCACCGTTCCAAACGGAGTTACGGCATCAGCGTAATTTCAGCCCACGCTGCGCACCCGGCCTCGCGCAATACGTAATTCATACCGTTTTCATTGAAAAGAAGAAAAATAGAAGTATCGCCGGGCGTTATGCTAATACGATAGGCACGGGGGCCGTTACTCGGCTGGCCGTATGTCACTGACCACCTCCGCCGACCGGCACCTTCAACTGAATAATAGACGGCCTTCTTGTCGCTGTTCGTTGGTCGTGTATTCGGGAAGGATCAACTACAGTGATTCCTCGATGAGTGCGACACGAACTACGGCGTTATTCCCACCACTGGGGTAGAAAAGTTCCCTTCTGAATCCAATCAAAACAGAATAAACAAAAGCTAGGCAGAGGCTTGGTTTAGCTTCTGATTATTCTGCTCTGATTGATTCCAGAAGGGGATCCTCCCAGTGGTAGGAATAACGCTGTTGTTCGTGACGCATTCATCGAGGAATTGCTGTATCTGTTAGTAAAACGGGGGGAGGATAAATGTCCCAATTACTATTACCTAAAGATTGTAGCGGAACCTCGTTTAATGAATTTACGTGTTGTTTAACGTAACAATCATCAGAGTTTGGAGCATAATACTATTTAACATTCTCCTTCCTTAAAAAAAAAATAGTTCTTTAAATTAAATATGACGAAGTACTTGATGATTAATTAGAATCTGCGAGCGATCCTAATGTCCCTGTAACTGTCACCTCTAACATTAACACATTGACTGCCACAGTGGAAATGGTCGTACGTAGCCAGACACACTTTATCTCGATTTTTAAGTCGTAAATCATCGAAAATATATGCGTATAGTTAATAGATGCTGTTGGTCTTGTTTTAAATTATACTGCGATCTTAATTTTACGCAACATTTTTATAACAATATTTAGATAATCCAGATTCTTTGCAATGTACGTATCACCCACATTTGGGTGACGTGCAGTCAAAGTGTTAAAAGAATTTTTCTACAATTTAACAATTCATTTGGTACAATTTTTTTATTTCCATCTTAGGGTCGGCACATAGAATCCACCCATGTGAAAGTGTTCCAAAATTTAATTAATACCCTGTGCAGTGAGTGATCGGTTAACGAACATAATCCGTTCTAATAAAATGTTCGTTATCCAATCATCGACTAGATTTTTATGGAAATTTGATTAATTTGTTCGCTAAATCCAAAAAATAAATAAAAATTACTGTTAATACTACGTTTAACTCAAAAGTACACTTAGGAATTTGAGTTTAAACCTAGGTACATACCTTAAGATTTCGACTGGAGTAATTCACAATAAAACAGTCTTAGAGTGAAAAGGGTTAACCACATACGCAGTGTCGACAAAATCATACGAACGTAACACACCAGTGAACTACTTGAACAATTGAAATTATCGGTTATTTAAACTATCCTTCCTTATCGCGATCGGTAACAAAGTGAACGAAAGAATAACACTCGTGCAAAACTATCTCTCGTAGTCACCGTCAAATATACCCAAAAAAAAAAAAACGAAGCCCGCCGACCAGTCGAAAGATAAAGAACAAACAAAAAATGTAAAAGGATGGAAACCCCGAACCTTTTCATCGATCAAAGGAACAGTTTATTAATCGGCCGGCTTTCGTGGCCGCGATCTTGTGCCAGCAGCTGCAGAGTTCCCTTTAATCCAAGATCGAATTCCCGATAGGATTACGCGCGCGCGCTCGATCGATCATCGCCGTCGACGTGATCGATATATCGACACTGCATACACACACATACACACGCCAAGGCACGGTCAATTCTATGCAGTTATGGATACCTCGCGGTCCATTAAGCGCCACCGGCTCGCCGCGCCGCGATTTAATGAATTTCTGGACCGCGCCGCATGGCTATTGGCTTTCGCTTTTTCTCTACCCAGGCCTGGTTTTGACGGTTCTCCTTGACTTGATTTATCGGCCCCGGCGGGAAGGGAAACGTTCCAGCTGTCCCGAATAACTGAACGACATTGCGATTCGCGAACGATAGAAATCTCGTATCGGCTCTTTCTCTCTGTTTACAGATCCCGCGCGGATAACGAGAAGTCTTTCGTTGTCGATAGACGATTGAGATTACGAGGCCCACGGAAATTGACGCGAATGAATTTTGTAATCCCCGTTCTGGGCGATCTTAAAACTAGAACTACCAGCGTTGAATGTATGCTAAGTTAAATTGTGTAATTATATTAATACGTGTAATATATAATACAATATAGCTTAGTACAGTGTAATATAAAGTACATAAGCAATTAAGTTAACATAAATTCCGACGGAAATGTCTGTAGAATTTTAGTAATTGTAAAATAAAAAATCTGAAATCCGTAATTTCATTACGGAAGACCGAGGATAGTTGTCATGTTTTCTAATTAAAAATTGTTTTCTCTTCAATTATTAAGTATTTAACGATTTTCTTTATTGTAACAGAAAAGGAGGTATATGTATGTGGGTTTGGCCTATCCGGTGCGGAGGCACCTTTTGCAATAGAATAAGAAAATAGTCAGAAAGGAAGTCCAGAAAGGAAGCAGTATCCCATAAAGTAAGACACTATCTATGTAATTGAAATTACTTGCATAAATATAGAATAAAAATAGAATAAAAACAGAATAAGAAAATAGTTGATTATACAGCCTGCACAGATATTCCGTTCCAACTGTATCCAGAAAGGAAACAGTCTCCGATAATATAAGATACTATCAATACGATTAAAATTATTTAAATAAAATCGAAACTGTTTTGTGTAATAATAGCTCAGGAGTAATTGCTGCTGGCACCAAGATGTGTATAGAGTCGAACATTTTAAACTTGGTTTCATTCATGAAGCATCCGTTCGCTACTCCTCCAAGCGTTGAAGTCTCCAAGTCGGTCCGGAGAGACTTCAATGCTGGGAGCAAGAGCTGGACTCGTGAATGACAAGCGCGACGGCATATACACAGGCGAACACCGTTCTTCTGGTGGCACAAAACACTTATTATCGTAAGCGAGAACCAAAAGACGCCGGTGTCCTTCGTCGATCTGCACTCTTTTGTACTAATTCAAGGAAAAATATCCTTTCTTTAAAAAGAGTACGTGACATTCGTTTAAATACGCGTGAAATTTTTGCCAGCACGGTATCCTCGTGTACCAAAAACGAAAGACCTTTTTCAAAAGCAATAACCACGTCCGGTGGTATATACACGAAGAAACCATGGTCTGTGATCAAAAACTGTTTTCTATTTGTATAATTGAATGAAACAAATTTCGAAGATCCATAACCGATCGCTGTCGGCGTTTTAACGGTTAAGATCGCTCTCGTTTCTTTTTTTTTAGCAAGATACCATAGACAGAAATATAGACTGCGCGTAATGGTGGGTCGGCGCAGCGTTCCAACTTTAAAAGTAGATGGATTACTTTAAAAGGACATGCTATCTTCTTCTAACATAGCTGAGTCAACCAATAAAAACCCAGACCCCCAAAACCTCACCCCCCACTACTTAGATTTAAAAAGAGATGCCCAATCCCCCGAAAGATATCTACCTCTTTCTAAACTGTTGATGCCCATTTCAGAGAGATGCGCAATATATATTTCTATGTCTATGAAAGAAACCTGCAGTCTATATTTCTATGTCTATGCAAGAAACAAACAAATCGATCAATCGAATCTGCCTGAAACGCGAAAACACATCTTTTTACCGTTCTAGGCGACGAAAATTCGAAATTGCGAACAGACAGAGGAACTCACCGGGGTACCCTTCCGGGATCACGATCTCCGGTCCAACTTTAACGTCGTGACGATAACGGTGCATCAGCAGGGTGGCCGTGACTCTGAGCGATCGTTGCTGTTGCTTGTACAACAGTATCGGTCGTCCACCGGCTCCTTCCACCCTGACCACCCTGGGCAACGAGAATCTGTCCAGGAACTCACGCAGTGGCATGAAACCGCCCCCAGAGCTCGCCGCCTCCGCGGTCGCCTCGCGGGAACTCGGCAACGAATCATCCCCTGTACCGGTCACCTCACCGCTCGACAACGTCGAGAATTCACCACTCGACGACATCGTCGCAAGACCGCCGTCTCGTCTAGGAGCCTTTTCACGGTCTCATATAGACACCCTGGATTTGTCGCGGACTTCGACGACGAACAACGAGGATGGACGAGATTTTCACGCGTTACACCGGCCCGGTTGTATAGGTTCCGTGCCTGAAACAGAGGAAAGAACGGGGTTAGTTACATTTAATCTACAACACACACGTTGGACACGTTAAACGTGGAGGTAATTCTGTTTTACTTTACATTTAGGCGAATATATAAATTGTATCAAGGACATCGTAACATTTTATAATACTTATGAAGGAAACACCTCATTTTTCGATATTCTACCAAACTTGATATTCCAGAAATCCAGGAACATTGTTCTGATAAACATTTGCGTGGGTAACGAAAGTTGTTTACCCCTCTCCTGGGAAAAATAATGATTTCTTGCGATTAGTTAGCTCAAATATGCTCCCGACACGTGCGCCACATCTGTATTTCCACGACAATACCCCTGAAAATATGATTTTCTAGATGTCGCGAATACGCCACGCTGAACGTTGCAGTAAATCCTCGATGAGTATTCCAAGGCTCCTTGGAATTGACAAGGAAAGGTTCTCAGGTGTAACGCTTTTTTTTGAATGAGATTTAGCACAGTGATAGAGCTAGGAATTCCGAAGACAATGATATCTGTTTCAGCCGCATATGGCCCTTAGTTTATGAAATATTTAATGTTCAATGCCGAGAAGCCTTCGAACACTCATCGAGGATTTACTGTAAACGGTTAACAGTGAATTCATTCCCACTCGATAAAAAGAAATATCGGTCCACAGGCCGAAATGGTATCAGAGACGAAGGGTGGGGGGGGAGGTGTGGAATTGTCGGGCGGCCCTTTTCTGCGGCAGGAATTCGTTATTCCGCGAAGCGTGGCAGCCTTGACAGTGATTCGCCGGCGGCGGCATAGTCTGCGCCTCTCCGTTAACGAGTGATTATACTCCATAGAGCGGCTTGACGATGATGGTGATGATGATGAATTTATGACGATGATTATCTCCCGTGGCGTACCGCTGTGTCGCCACCGGTGTTTGTCTTTCAGACGAGGAGGCGGCCCTGCGCGCGCGCGCGGGAAAAAAAAGGAAGAAGTAAAGAAACGGCCACGAAGCGATGGAATGAGTCTGGTTCCGCGGTCGGTTAAGGATTGTTCTTGGGAACACGGTGGTTGACACGCGACGACGGCACACACCTATCGTAAATCAGGACTAACTGATATACGGAACCGCCCCGAGAATCGATCCCAAAAACGACCGAAGGTGTACCGATCTACGCGAAACAAGATAGTTTTGCGTTAAGGTAGCTCAAGCGTTTGGTGTCGTATCTAACTGGGGCTCCATATGGCGCTTTATGCTTTTTATCAATTTTACCAATTTCATTTGAATGATTAATATTTTAAATTACTTCAAAGCACTGAAATGGAAAGAACATTTACAAATAAGTGGAAAAGAGAAGAAAAATTTCTGTTCCCGGTTGTAAAAGAAATTTAATTTTTTGGGGGATTTTTAAGAAAAAGTTTGGGAAATTCGTCGAATAAAGTGAAGGAAAAGAACGTTCACGCTCATAGCAGACTTAAAACTGTTAAAGTTAACTGGTATCTTATAAGTGGTTTTTGGTGAATTTGGCAGTCTGCGAGACTCCACGTCAAACTCCTTGAACAATGTCGATATTTTGTTGAAGACCTCATAAAATAAAAAAAATTCAAGCACCTATATCTTCCATTTTTCCACTCAACCATGTTTTACAATATACATATTGCATCATGAAGACAACTTTTAGTGATTTTAGACACCACCTTCATAAACGTCTCTAAGAATATGCAACAAAGAGTAAAATTATTCAAACAAAGTCTCTCTGAGACTTTTCAACAGTGTTTATGTGACAAAAATAGACGGTTAACGGTACAAGCAAGACCGAAACCGTGAGAATAGAAACAAGAAGAGTGCCATATGTTGTACCTAAAATCTGTCAAAGTACACTGACTATTTTGTAATTCCTCTTGGAAGTTACTTGAATTCGTAAATTTGCATTTTCAAAAATTCCGCGTGACACCTTTCCTTTTCCTTTTTTTTCAGAAATCATTGTCCACTCATTAATCACAGGGTGGCTATAACACGTTTACGTATAAACTCGAATTGTACAATACAAGAATGACGACAGTGACAGAAAAACGATGAATCGACAAAAGCACAATATGAAGATCGCGTATGTGACTTAATACTTAATCCTTCTGCAGCAGCCGGATGAAATTACCCGTTTCACACCTGTTCACCCGGAGAATCAACCAAAAAAGAAGTTCTTCCGCGGCGACTCGACCCAACTTCAACATCACACACCCCGACGACTTCACAAAGGATTCCAAACCATCAACCACGGATTTCACCGAGTCACGACTCGGGTCCGTCGTCATCTAATCGATCCAAATTGAATTCTAATAATCCACATTCGTACGTAACGGCCCCGCGAGAACCGCAGCCAGACGACTGTGCAGTTCTCCCCAGGTGACTTGCCACCTGTACCATTCCTCAGCGGCTCCCGTCCGCCTGCAACATCGGCCTCGCAACGCATACGAATGACAGAAATTAATATTCCAGCTGTGTAAGATATGATGTGCGGAGACTCGAGGGCATTATCCACGGTTCCGGTCATGAATACGCATGGGTACACGGCCACCAGTTTTTGTGTTTCTTTTTTTTTTTGTTTTATTCTTTCCTCCTTTCCCCCGTGGAACTGACGAGGTAAAGCCTCGCCAGTCTTCGAATCCCCTCGATCATTTCGCCCGGGAAGAACTCGTGTAATCGCCGCGTAACGACCGTTTAATTGTCCTGCAGCCGCCGCCACGGTGGCCGCAAATATGTATACAGGGTGATACGAAAAAACTGATCCATAACTTCTAGGGCGGACAGTAGGGGAACCTGTTCTACCACGGTCCTATATCTAATTTTAAATGTTCGTGGATTCTTTTTTTTTCTTGCAAAATTGACAATACTAATTCTACGATTGCCGCGAAAAAGTTTAGAAAATTATTGGGTGACCCCAATTTTTTTAGACAGAAAGTGTATATGTAAAGTGTGTATACACTCACGAGCTAACGCGGTTACATTGTTAACTGTTGTTAGTATTTGGAGATACAATCATTAAGAAAAAAAGCTTTCAAAGTTTCGAAGTTAGGACTTGAAAGAATATTTCTTGTGTTCTCGGTTGAATTTTCTTTATTTTATGGTGAATTTGTCTTCGTTGGGCCAATGAGACGAACGTAGACTGATTAATTAGATTCTTTTGAAAAATGGAGTTAGCATAGATAAGAACAAATGTTGCTGGAAAATTTTGCTATCGTTTAAAAACAGAGACAAGAATCGTACAGGTGGACGGACGCGTCATTTGAACTTACCGCGAGTCTCCGCGTTGGACTCTTTGTTCGTACCGTGTCGCGTGATTCGGTATGCCGATTGGGTTCGCTCAAACGTTTTGTATTCTGTCACGGGGACCTCGGGTTAGGCTTCTGTCCTCGCATACACGATCCTTTGTTTCGGAAACTGCGACCCTGCTATATGGGAGAGCGTTTATTCGTCTACGGGATCTTCTCCGCTTCGACGTTTGTTCCCCGAACGAGAATTAGAGCACGCGTGTTCAATTAGGTACTACTATTTTTTTTTAATTTCGGATTTTAAATTCATCGAAACGAACAGAAATATATCTACTGTATAAAAAGTAAGTAGGGGAGAGTGGAGTAATTACGAATACCTAAGCAAAAAAAAACAGACTCGAATTTGCTTATTACTTATAATCATACTTAAACTGTTCATCTACAAACTATATTATCCAATTGTGGAAAAATTATTATAAAAATCAACTTTTTAGTCAGAAAACGATACCCTTGGTGTTCGTGATTACCCAAAATAAATGTGTAAATGACATAAATTTCATTATATGAAATAAAAATTAAAAGATATCCCTTTCACATGATAAATGTTTTAAAAAACTGCGTGTATATATAGATATAAAAGTAAACACTCCACGTCAAATTCTTAATTAAACAATATTAAATTAATAAGGGCGGCGACACTGTTTTTACTCTCGAGCGGCCAACAACCCAGGAACGGTCCTCAAATGCCAATTACGTATTCATGAATATTATCGAGGAATACATATCATTTAATAATTACCATTTTATGTCGAATTGGTACAATCTATTGCCTTTCCGTTCATCGTTCCATAAAAACAGTCGAAAATCATGGGCGAATATTTCATAAACACGAGCGCACGTTCGCTGCGTGTTTCTCAAAATTTATTGTTCACAAGGGGGATCTTTTCTACAGCGGAAGGAGAGGGGGGAGCAGCTAGCGTGTCCGATCGGCGAAACTTTCGAAACGCTTTCGTTCTCGCGAAATCGGGCCCGCGAGCCATTTCACTTTCCAGCACGTTCCCTTTTTTGGTATCGCTGGGACCGGTGTGTGTAATCGGTACAGCGCGGCGCGCGGCGTCTGTCATCTGTAACACGCGTAATCGCCGGGGCGAAATTGCCATCGAGCGCGAAAGAAATTAATTACCACGAGGACGTCACGTTCCACGGACCAATTAAACGCACCCCAACCGACCACGATTGTGATGCGGAGCGTGCTTTTCCATCTGTTAAAGGTCGGAAAAATGGCAACCGCGCTACCAGTAAGCGAACATTTTGAAATTATAATTGTACGTTCGGACATACTCGAAGAATCGTCGATCCAAATGGCGGGTGGTTGGAATGTGTACATACCGCTCGAAGCGATTTTCGTGACATTATCACTGGAAGAACGGAGGTTTAAGGAAGGAGCCTAGTGTAAACGGGCTAAGAATGAATGAACGCTTAAGTACGCTTAATTTTCATAAAGTGTACCGTTAAGTTATTATTCGAGGTGATCAAGTTAGCTGAGACACCCTGTATGTGGTCCATCTGTCCCGGGACGTATGGTATAGATAGACTATGCACAGACT